CTTGAGATTGACGAGATACAACACAAATGCTACGGCAAAAGGGAGGAACCCGGATGTCAGAACTGTGGGGACTTAACTACAAGTCCCCACCCAGTGAGGGGATACACGGCCCCAATGAGCAAAACAGAGCTGAACGAGACAGCTGCTGACCTGAGAGAGAGAATCATGACCCGAATGACAACCAGGCCTCCTCGGCGCCAATTACAACGGCTGAGTGAAGTACCATCAGAAAGTCTCATTGAGAATGTGAATGCAGCATTAAGAACGATCCTACCAACACCATAACAGAAACTCAGCATCAGTGATCCTTGAGATACTTGGCTATAAGAGCAACCAGGAGACCCAATACCCACCATGGAAAAGACGGTTAGAGGCTAAATCAAGGTACAAGGAGGGAAGTGAGCCAACTGTCAGAGCTCCACAAGGGTACAATGAAAAGACCAGTACCCAGAAAGTACAGCCAGATGCCCATACCTGAAGCACTCGAGACTGCCAAACAGAGGCTCCAAGCCTTGGCCAGCCCCTAAAGAGATACACAAGGGAGAATGAATCCAGAAGGATTAACCGGCTCTTCTCCACTCAACCAGCTAAGGTGTACTCTCAATGGCAGGGTAATAACAACTGAGACTGAACAATACTGGAAAGGCATATGGGAAAGGGAGGCGTCCCACAACAGCAATGCACAGTGGCTGATCTCTCTACGAGAGGACCACAGCAACCTCCCTGAGCAAGCCCGGTAACCATCACTGTGACAGATGTTCAAGAAAGACTCTCAGGCATGAAAAATTGGACAGCACCAGGGCCTGACATGATCCATGCCTACTGGCTAAAGAAACTCATGCTCTCCATGAGCGAATGGCAGCCCAAATGAACCAGCTGCTACAAAGTGGGACTCACCCTGAATGGTTAACTGAAGGGCGGACAATCCTAATCCAGAAGGATCCATCAAAGGGTCCAGTCCCACCCAACTACCGACCAATAACCTGCCTCTCCACAACCTGGAAGCTCATGTCAGGCATCATAGCGGCCAAGATAAGCAAACACATGGATAAACACATGAGCACGGCACAGAAGGGTATCGGTGTAAATACCAGAGGAGCCAAACACCAACTCCTCATAGACCGCACAGTTGCCGATGAAGCTGTGGAAAACCACCCTTGAAGCCAACTGCAAACCACTTGCACAAGTGTCCATCAAATGTGGCATATACCAAGGAGATGCTCTGTCCCCGCTACTGTTCTGCATAGGCCTGAACCCCCTCAGCCAAATTATCAACAAGACTGGCTACGGATACCGACTCAAAAATGGGGCCAACATCAGTCACCTCCTCTACATGGATGACATCAAGCTGTATGCCAAGAGTGAGCGAGACATCGACTCACTGATCCACACCACCAGGATCTACAGCACTGACATTGGGATGTCATTCGGAGTAGAGAAGTGTGGTCGGCTGATCACAAAGATGCTTGCAATTTGGTCAACTCACAAAGAGGGGGAAGGTGATCCGCACAGAAGGAGTCTCACTCCCACAAGGAACAATAGCAGACATAGAGGACAGTTACAAGTACCTAGGTATACCACAAGCAAATGGCAACCTCGATGAGGCCACAAGGAAAGGAGCCACAGCTAAATACCTCCAACGAATAAGGCAAGTCCTGAGAAGCCAGCTCAATGGCAAGAACAAAATCAGTGCGATAAACAGCTATGCCCTGCCAGTAATCAGATACCCTGCTGGAATAATTAGCTGGCCAAAGGAGGAGATAAAAGCCACAGATATTAAGACTGGAAAGCTACTAACCATGCATGGAGGGTTCCATCCCAAATCCAGCACCCTGAGACTGTACACGAGCCGCAAGGACGGAGGCAGAGGACTAGTGAGTGTGAGAACCACTGTCCAGGACGAAACAACTAAGATCCATAAATACATCAGGGACAAAGCCTCAACAGACAATGTGCTCAGTGAATGTCTCAGACAACAGGGAACGGAGGTTGAGGTGCCAGAGATACCATCATGTGAGGACAAGCCCCTACATGGGATGTACCACCAGCAAATAACCCAAGTGGCTGATATCAGTAAATCCTACCAATGGCTGGAAAAAGCTGGACTCAAGGACAGCACAGAGGCCCTCATCCTGGCCGCCCAGGAACAGGCCCTAAACACCAGAGCAATAGAGGCCCAGATCTACCACACCAGACAAGACCCAAGGTGTAGGTTGTGCAAGGAGGCCCCTGAGACAGTCCAGCACATCACAGCAGGGTGCAAGATACTGGCAGGGAAAGCGTACATGGAGCGACATAACCAAGTGGCAGGCATTGTGTACAGAAACATCTGTGCAGAATATGGACTGGAAACCCCAAGATCAAAGTGGGAAACACCCCCAAAGGTGGTAGAGAACACCAGAGCTAAGATCCTGTGGGACTTCCAGATCCAGACAGACAAAATGGTAATGGCGAACCAACCAGACATTGTCGTAGTGGATAAAAATCAGAGGAAAGCCGTTGTGGTAGATGTAGCAATACCAAGTGATTGCAACATCAGGAAAAAGGAGCATGAGAAACTGGAGAAATACCAGGGCCTAGGGAAGAACTGGAGAGGGCCTGGAAGGTGAAGACCACAGTGGTGCCTGTGGTCATCGGGGCCCTCGGGGCAGTAACCCCCAAACTAGAGCAGTGGCTACAACAGATCCCAGGAACAACATCAGACATCTCAGTCCAGAAATGTGCAGTCCTTGGCACAGCCAAGATACTGCGCAGAACCCTCAAGCTCCCAGGCCTCTGGTAGAGGACCCGAGCTCAGAGGATAAGAACCACCCGCGGTGGGTGAGAAGGGAATTTTTTTTTAGAACCACTGTCCAGGACGAAACAACTAAGATCCATAAATACATCAGGGACAAAGCCTCAACAGACAATGTGCTCAGTGAATGTCTCAGACAAAAGGGAACGGAGGTTGAGGTGCCAGAGATACCATCATGGGAGGACAAGCCCCTACATGGGATGTACCACCAGCAAATAACCCAAGTGGCTGATATCAGTAAATCCTACCAATGGCTGGAAAAAGCTGGACTCAAGGACAGCACAGAGACCCTCATCCTGGCCGCCCAGGAACAGGCCCCAAACACCAGAGCAATAGAGGCCCAGATCTACCACACCAGACAAGACCCAAGGTGTAGCACATCACAGCAGGGTGCAAGATACTGGCAGGGAAAGCGTACATGGAAACATCTGTGCAGAATATGGACTGGAAACCCCGAGATCAAAGTGGGAAACACCCCCAAAGGTGGTGGAGAACGCCAGAGCTAAGATCCTGTGGGACTTCCAGATCCAGACAGACAAACTGGTAATGGCGAACCAACCAGACATTGTCGTAGTGGATAAACATCAGAGGAAAGCCATTGTGGTAGAGGTTTATAATACTGCACATTTCTGGATCTCAGTCCAGAAATGTGCAGTCCTTGGCACAGCCAAGATACTGCGCAGAACCCTCAAGCTCCCAGGCCTTTGGTAGAGAACCCGAGCTCAGAGGATAAGAACCACCCTCGTTTTATTTTGGGGATGTTCCTGTTCTGTAGGTTTGGATGGGTTTAAGTCAGAGGACTGCTAAGAATCATTGCTTCCATTCTAACATTTGTGACCAAACTTTTGGAACCTTCTTCCTGATGTCACACTGGTTGGTGTCAAAACCCAACATTCCATTTGAGCTCAGTTCGTCAGAAATCTTTGATAGAGTGAGATGTAACTATCAGAGTTAAACCTGCTATTTTTAAGTGAATAAAATTACACTGAAATCTACAAAAACATGGCTGAAGAATCAGAACAAAAGCGTGAAAGCCCAGGAGTCAGGATAACAGAAGGTAATGAGTTTGAGTTTCATTCTTATCAAGACATGGTTTATGTTACAAATTTTGGAAAGTTGTACTGTAAAACATTTGAAGGTGGTTTGACTTGAAAATGAAAATCCGCCTGCTGCCTTGAAAATGCAACTGAAGTCAACCCAAAAAATGTATTGGTTTTAAATAAGAAATTGAAGTACATGCAGTTGATTTAACAAGAGACAAGTTGTTTAAACTTTTTTTTTTAATTGGTTAGTTTTTAATCGAATTTTAACTTGATGCTGCAATATAAACCAAATAATTATTTTACAATATTGAAGAAAATCTAGTTAGAGTTCACATTTCTCTATTATTTTCCTGCACAAGTTAAAATAACTTTACTTCTTGGAGGTTTGACAAAATTCATAAAAAGTTAACACAACTTAAGTTTGTAAGTTTATCTTTCACAAACTCACACATTTAGATTCAAAATCGAAAACTCACTAAATTCATTTGACCTAAAGAATGAATTTAGAATAGAAGATAGTCGACACAAGTAAATGCGTAACTATTTAGACGCATTTAATTGTCTAAATGCATTTAATTGATGCAATTAAATGCGTTAATTAAACGCATTTAATTGACGTATTTAATTGCGTCAATTAGATGACACAAGTAAACGTGTCATTTAATTGTCTAAATGCATTTAATTGACACAATTAAATGCGTTAATTAAATGCATTTAATTGATGCATTTAATTGCGTCAATTAAATGCTCAAATGTTTTAGAGTGTGGTGGATCTAACAATTCAGGTCATTTTACACATTTAACAATAACAGTATTATAAACCTCTTAATGTATAGTTAAGAAAGTTAGAGTATTTATCGCTCAGAACTTCTGTTTTGTTAACTTCCGTTGGTTAGGAACATTGAAATGTGTCAATCTCTGTTGGCTTCTCAGAGAAGCATGAATTTGGATGAAAATCAATTAAATGTACAACAGCTAATGTAATAAAGTCCCTGATCAGATAGTACCATGTGAGCTGATTCAGAACTGAACATGTACTTTAACTAATCATTCATTTTCCACAACATTTGTCACTGTAGAGTCAAGCAGCAGCATGATGCTGCAGCTTCCAGAGTCTGCTCAGGACAGTGAGATCCACAAACCAAGTATCAGGGTCTCTGAGACACCCGGAACCTCAAGAAGCTGCCAGGAGCAGCTTAGAAACACGAAAACATTGAAGAGGAAGATGACAGAAACAAAAGACAGTTCAACACCAGCCAAGTGTAGGAAGGAAGACCTCCAGGAGCAGGTTCCAACCAGAGAGTCTTCCTCCTCCTCAATTGACATCCTCATAGGTTGGCTGCTTTCATCAAACTAATGTTAAATTGGCTCATGTTGACAAACCATACATGTAAAAAATGATCACTATTTATTCCCAACATCTCTTACTTTAGAGATCAGCAGCAGCAGCATGATGCCACAGTGTCCTGAGTCTATTAAAGACAAGACACCAAAGAGAAGGAAAAAGGTTAAAAAACACCGCCGAAAATGGACCAGGGTTCCTAAGATGTTAGGACCATCGAAAGGCAACCAGGGCCAGACGAGGATTGTGGGGCGACTGAGGAGGAAAATAACAGAAGAAGGAGAGGGGTCTCAATCACCAGCTGAGAGGAAGAACAAGGGACTCCTGCAGCAGGTCACAACCAAAGAGCCCTCATCCTCAGAGGACATCAGCACAGGTTAGCATCTTAGATGAAACTTCTGTTAATTTTCTCTTCTGTATGTTAAAATACTTGTGCTGTTTCTATGGGTTTTTCTCATTTTTAGAGTCCAGCAGTTCCAACCTGGAACTTTGCAGCGCAGGAATAGGCGATTTACAGAACAGGAATATGAAGAAGGATGAGGACACTGAGGAACCAGAGATGACAAATAGGAGGAGGAGTGCAAGGAAGAAGAGAAAAGAAGAAATGGACGCTCTAAGAGGTCAGAGTTTAATTTGCAATAGAATTGTAATATAAGCATTAGTTAGAGAGACTTAAGGTGTAGTGATAATTAGATCTATGGTAACATTAGTGAACAGTTTATTCTGATGCTTTATGAAATTTAAAGATGTGTTCATGTGTTTAGCTGAATTCCAGAAAAAATATACTGAGCTACATCTACTGGGAAAAGGAGGCTATGGATCTGTGTTTGCTGGATATCGAGTGGTGGATAAATTACCGGTAGGAATACTTAAAATGATGTACAAAAGAGTTGATATCCTCATGGAGGTGCAAGTCTAACAGCTAGTCAGACTCTTTCAGCTGAGTTTAGCTAATGACGTCTCAAACTGAAAAAGTTCAGGTCTGTAAAATAGGACTATATTAGATAAATGATTTCATAAACCAATGAGACTTTAAGAATAAAGGTGCAAATGGATAATATTCACTAATACATATTAGAATTGCACAATTGTGAACATTTTCAGTTCTTGTAGTCTTAAATTTGATTTTGGAAAGACCAAACTAGATAGCTAAATTTTCTTTCGATTTTAATGGCGCTTTCATAACTAATACGTTCCGCACATCAAATACACATCCGACGCTTCAAGTTCAACGTGTGTGCACTTTGAATGCAAACATATCTTAGGTTTCGCTGGTTTACATTCAAAATCTATGTTTGACGTGCCAAACGGTTCAAAGCTGGACGGTCGAAACGCAACAGCCCTGGACACGCCTACACATAGACTTTGAACGTAAACCAAATGTCCCTGACACTCAAAAAGCGTTTGGTGTGAACTCATCAAAATACTGATAACTCAACATCAATCAACTTCAGAAAATCTGAACATTCCCTGAAAGGATATTCCTATTGCTGAGCAATGCTTTGCTTCTATGGTATAGGTGGCTATCAAACACATCCCAAATAAAAAGGTGCACCGCAAACATAAGGTAAGTGAGCAACAGCATCTACGATTGATTTTAAGTCCTATTGGATTCCAGATGAAGGGTTTCTCCTGTTTGCTTTGATGTTTCAGGATGAGAATGGTAGGGAGATGGCGATGGAGGTGGCCGTCATGTTGAAGCTGAACACTCTAACTACTAATTCATCAAAGCAGTTAGCCACAGTGTCCCTGCTGGACTGGTATGAACTGGAGCAGGAGCTCCTCCTGGTGATGGACAGGCCCATGCCTTCAGATGATCTCAGTACCTACCTTGATCAGAATGAAGGTCGTCTAAATGAGGAGGAGTGCAAGGTAAGATGCTGGATGGAAATTCAAGAGGGTTTTTTAAAAATTCTCAGTTACTGCCTCAGTTGGGGATTTTGTTTCTTAGTGAATATGATAAAATCAGAAGGATGAAATACAGTGCAATATTTCCTCTGTAAAACAATTTTGTAAAACTTTTATGTTCATGCATCTCATAATGTCTCTACAAACATTGACGTGTGTGGGTGTTATGTGACAATGTGAAAAAAAAAGTCCATATAAAATTAAAAATCTTTACATGTCACTGTATTTCTCACTGAATTTCTCACCAGAGAAGTCCAACATCAATCTGCAGAATTATGAGCTTCAAATCATTTTTGTCTTGTAGGTCATATTAAAACAGCTGATGGAAGCAACAGTTCAACTTCAGCATGCAAACATCTTCCACAGAGACATTAAACTGGAAAATGTCCTTATTGAGAGGAGCTCAGAAGGCTTACGAGCCTATCTCATAGACTTTGGTCTAAGTTGCTTTGACCATGGAAAGAAATTTACCATCTTCCAAGGTAAGATATCTCGCTTCTTTCTGAGAAAACTGATATTCTTTTTACTGTTCTTCTTTCTGACTCTCTTAATTCTGACACATTTTTAGGGACCCATGCTCTTGAGTCACCAGAGTATCGAACTCAAAGGAAATATTCTGCTGGACCCACAACAGTGTGGCAGCTGGGAGTGATCATGTTTGAAATTCTCCATGATAAGAGTTTTGAGACCAAGAGCTTTCTTAAACAGAAGCTGAAGATCAGCAAGACGCTTTCTGAAAGTGAGACAGGCATTGTACTATATCTTCTCACAGCATATATAAATCTGTCCTCTATCCCCAGCTCTAACTGTTGTTGCGCTTTGACCTCTGACCCTCCAGACTGCCAGGATATTCTGACTAAGTGCCTGAAGGAAGACCCAGAGGAGCGTCCAACGCTGGAAGAACTGCTCAATCACCCATGGTTTTCATAGAGTACGCATCACACAAACATTCAAATGTTACATTTTAACATTTATTTTCATAGCATGTTTTCAGAATGTTTTCAGGGACCAAAGGGGTTCAGGTGCAGTGTGGAATGTGTGATGGCCGAGGAAGGGGGCCCTGGCGGTCTGATCCTTGGTTTCTGAATCTGGCTCTTGGGACGTCGAATGCCACCTCTCTGGTGAGAAAGGAGCCGGAGCTGGTGTGAGAGGTTGACAACCTTGCGGCAGAGCTGTGGCCACAGGGTTGTCTTTGCCTGTCGCGGCGGCGACCCTCAAACTGCTGTCAGGCTGAAGGAGTCCTTTCGGTCCTTTTTGGCCTGTGAGACTCCAGAAGCAGCTGATGGGTACTGGCGGGCACTGGAGCGGTTCGCAGTCGAGTGAGTGTGAAGCAGGTGGGATGGGGATCAGTGCTTCCAAATCCAAGGCCATGGTCTTGAACCGGAAAAGTTTCGAGTGCTTTCTCTGGTTCAGGGGGGAGGGTGTCCTGCCCCAAGTTTTAAGTATCTCAGGATCTTGTTCACAAATGAGGGAATAAGGGAGCGGGAGATCGACAGGTGGATTGCAGTGTCTGCAGTGAAGCGGGTACTGTACCGGTCTGTCGTGGTGAAGAGAGAGCTGAGTCAAAAGGCGAAGCTCTCGATTTACCAATCTACGTTCCCACCCTCATCTATGGTCATGAACTTTGGATCATGACCAAAAGAATTAGGTTGCAGATACAAGCAGCAGAAATGGGTTTTCTCCGTAGAGTGACTGGGCTCTCCCTTAGAGATAGGGTGAGAAGCTCGGTCATCTGGTCGGGACTCAGAGTAGAGCTGCTGCTCCTCCACATCGAGAGGAGCCAGTTGAGGTGGCTCAGGCGTCTGGTTAGGATGCCTCCTGGACGCCTCCCTGGTGAGGTGTTCAAGTCACGTTCTATTGAGTCCAAAAATATTTGTTATATGATCATGTGTGTTTTTAGCATAATTTAAGATTTGTAGATTTTCTCTGGGTACTCTGGTTTTCTCCTTGAGTCAAAAAAATTTGCTGGATCAAATTGATATTAATCTAGGTCATCCTGAAGACATCTATGAGCTGTTTTTGTAACTCCACTCAGACAACAATATCGACCCTCTAACATATTCTTTATCATTTTAGGTCTGTTCTTCCATCAGAGCCAGCGCTCCAGTGTATGTTTTGTTTGTCTTGTCCACTTTCCTGTCCTCTCCAACCCCAGCCGGTCGAGGCAGACGGCCGCCCATCCTGAGCCTGGTTCTGCTAGAGGTCTCTTCCTTTGAAAGGGGAGTGTTTCCTCTCTACTGTCGCCCCGTGCTTGCTCAGGATGGGGGATTGCATTGATATAAAGCTTCGATGCACTCTGCTGGTTTCCTCCCCTTCGCAGAATCGCCACCTTATCGTGGTGGAGGGGTTTGAGTACCCCTATGGTCTTGAAGTCTTGGCTGTCTCTGAGTTTCACCTCTGCTGGGGTTTGACGTGGCATAAAGGCTTCAGGGCGGGGTCAGACCAAGAGCGATTCATAGACTGCAGAAAGACCATAAAAATGACAGGTATCAATTGCTCAACGCATCTTCCTTGAAGCTCTTCTCCTCCAGGAAAATCATTTTCCTCCAGAAAAAAAATATTGTGAAAAAATATTTTCACAAAATATATTCAGTTTAATAAAGCAGAAAATGTCAACAAAAATGTCTACCAACTAGTTTTTAATTTATGTATTCATCATCACACACCAATGATAATAAGCTAATGGATTGTAGCCACAGATGTTATATTGTTCCTGCAATAAATTGTCTTGCTCCAGGACATGACAGAGACAGACCATTGCAGGCCAAACTCCTACCACTGTCACCCCAGTAGTAAGCATTATCACCGTACGTTTAAGTTAATGATAGACCGTTAATAGGCAATTAATCGTGTGGAATCCCAAGGCCTTCCCAGGCCAGCCGAGAAACATAGTCCCTTCAGCGTGATCTGGGTCCACCCTGGGGCCTCCTCCAGGTGGGACGTGACCCAGATGCTGCTCTCGATGTGAAGGAGCAGCAGCTCTACTCTTGAATCCCTCAGGGATGACCGAGTTTCTCACCCTACTCAGCGTTAGCTGCAGGCAGAGCAGGTTGTGGTGACAGGTGGAAACTGGAGAATTAAGTCACGTTACTTATTTCTACATACTAGAAAGCCAGTAAAAGAAAAATGTATTCACAGAGGACTCCAAGCAACCACATTCGTACTCTTTAGAGGCTAAAAGCCCTACTGTTGTTTCACTGGCTGCTGTTAAGTCGACTTTCTTTGTCTGATTTGGGAAAACCAAAACGTTCCCTGGATTTTGTAAAGCGATAACTGACTGCAGCTGAGCAAAATCTGGGCTGAAACATTGTCAGCGCACACATGCAGTCAATACCTGATTAATGGAGTGCAAAGACAAAAGTGGATTGCAGAGAAAAGCAATAAAAAGAAAGGAAAGATTTTCATTCAGCAACATCTGCAGAAACAGTTAAGCTCTGCTCTGCCATTAAGAATCTATAGTGTACACATCTATTTGGCTAATGATACCACAGATTTTGTGGTATTTTCTTCAGCATTTTCTCTCAGGCAGTTCCGTTTCAGTGTTTGATAAGCAGAACATTTTCTTGCTGCCTGTTTTATTGATGTTGATTTTTTCCCCCCCCACTTCTATATTTAGGCAGAGTTTTTTTTGGGTGTTCATTGGGAGATTGAACAACTCGGTGCAGCTGGTTTGACTGAAATGTTGGATGGCTGCTGGTAGAAAGACAGAAGGAAGGCAGGCTGAATGCTAACCCCAACATCGTGACGCACCGTCATTATCCACGCTTGGTTTCTGAATGCAATATTAGGCCATGCACAACAAAAGTACTAATTCAAAGAAATAGAAGTCGGTGTGAAATGATTTTGAATTCTCCCACATTTTGTCACTTCATGCCGGTCAAACTTTCCATATTTTTACTGATTTTGATCTCAGAGCAACACAAACTAGTGGTTAATTAAATAGTTTTCAGGACATGCTGCTTTATTTTGATACTTTTTAATACCCCTCCTAATCACGGTTTAGTATTTGCAGATTTTCCTTGTAGTGCATAGCTACTGCGTAGTTTAGGAAGCTAAAATTCTTAAGCCCAATTCACGTTGACATGCTTTGGCTGGCGTTTGTGAAGTAGCCAATTCCTTTTTTCTCCCACTGATTGGCTGCACCTCACACCAGAGTTAAGGATTTTACAAGTCTTTTTGGATGAGTTACAGGGTTTTAATGACAACATCATCATCATTAAAACGTCTTCATATCACGATTCTTCAGCGCTCCTGCTTGCTATTGGATCTGATCTCAACCAGGAAATTTCATTGGGGTTCTGGAACCTCACCAGGTTCAAGTGCATTTTTGGAAAGGGAAAACCTTTAGCTTATTGACAGAAGTCCTAAGCGTTAATCCAACCGTGTCGTCTATGTTTAACAATCCTTGATTCAATATTTGCTCTCCGGGAAGAGCTTCGGGTTCACCACACCACCTGGAGACATTACACACACACACTGGAGAGACAGATATTCATGCACTTCTCACTATGACAGAGTTCTACTTAGTCAAAGCTCTTATGAAACATTTTTCTATTATTGTTATCCATCAGTATGTAACTGATATCTCCAAACCCCCCTTTTGTTCCTTGGCAACAAAAAGTTATCTGGTTTTTTAAAGCTGTTCATCTTAAATTCCCTCCTTTATGAAATACATTAAACCAGTTTATACAGCAGAAGCCCCTAATTGCAAAAACATAATGTTAATACTAAAAAAAAACCAAAAAAAAAAAAACACCCCAAAACATTAAGTAAGAACAAGAGCAAAATAAATCTGGTTAGGATCTGATAGACTGTAGATGGATGAGAGGCTTCTCATTAGCTGGTGCACAGTGACACCTACTGGCCACTAGAGGTTCCAGCAAGCTTTTGGCCTGAGATGAACTCCTGTTTCTGTGCCTACCTGTCAGGTTTTGGATTTGAAAATACGGTAAACGTCGCCTCGCAGTGCTGACGTCGGAGCAGGGAGAAGAAACTAGCGTAAAAGCAGTAGAAGGCCATGATACGGGATATTTACAGGGTAAAACAATGATAAGGGAAGGGGGGGAAAATACGGAAGTTTCCTGGCCAAAACGGGAGACTTGACAGGTTTCTGTTATATATTCAGCTAAAATGCCTCTTATCTTGGCAAAATGTTTAATCTGTGGCACCCATACAATTATTGTAAAAGAGACGGTTCTGGCAGTCACTTTTGCTCTAGCTTTCACTGTAAGGAAATGAAAAACTGTTGTGGGTCTGTTTTGCTGCAGGAGGAACCGGTGCACTTCATCATGACATCATGTAAAATGATGTCATGTATCTGACATCATTTTACTGGTTCACTGCAAATCAGGCCTTTGCAGTGAAGCTCAAGGTTGAGCCAATCAGATTGTGTGCGTTCATGCATGTGTGCTGACCTTTTTTGTGCATAAACACAGTAAACCTGCCTTGCTTGCATTTTATTTTCATTGCATAAAATACTAAAATCGGTCATCAGATGTCACCATTGTAAAGGTTTGAAGTTGAAGTTCAAAGCTCAGAGATCCCAGCAAATTTCACTCTGATGTTCCCAGTAAGGATTAAAACGTCCTGCTAAATTATGGTGGGAAATATAAAAGAAAAAGTAGCGACTCAAGCTTCAGCCAAACACACACTATCATATTTTTAATGTTGGTCCAGGTATTATTGCTAATTTCATTCCAGAAGAGCAAGGAAGTAAGCTGAAATTTCCATTGTCAACTGTGCTTTTTTGCTTTACTATTGAAAATGATTGAATTTTAGGTATTCCCGTAAAAGGAAGCGTACACCTTCTAGCTGGATGACAGAAAACAACCATCTGGAGGTCTAACAGAATGATCCAGCCAAAGTCCAGATCCAAGAAAAGAATCTGTGGAAACATTTGAAAACATTTTGCAAAGAAAATGTGAAATGTT